AGAGAGAGAGAGAGAGAGAGAGAGAGAGAGAGAGAGAGAGAGAGAGACGATATAAGGAATGAGTCTTGATGATGTTTCGTGCAAGACCGAGCGCCTGATATCTTCCGTCTTTCCAAGGCTCTTAGACTGCTGAAGACAAGTTAGGACAACCAGTTTAGTGCAAAAAGGTATACATATATGCGCCATGGATCTTCAGTCCCCGTTGTAATCTTACAAACCGTCACCATCAGTTTTGTGGTCATCACCCATGCAAATCGAAAAATTGCTCCTGTCTGGCGATGTCAAAAGACTACATGAAGCGCCAGGCGTAGAAAAATAGTACACTGCCAAGTATAGCACTCAGCATTTTGCCTGGGAAGGCCATTTCCTTCATGAAGTCCTCTGGCATGCACCAAATACAGAGCGCACAACACCATACCCCGAGTATCTCTGGAATTGTGCAGCTGCTGAGCCTGTATACCGTGCCACGTCAGTATCAAGGACCGATATTGGAGCGGCGGCAGATGCTAAACGAACCGGCAACAGGTTCCGCTGCACTGAATCCCGACCAGCGCAGTCTTGAAACCACGATGATGGGGAAAATGATCCATCCCAGAACCGCTCCACCCACTAACAAAGCGACTGTGGATGCCATCCTGTACATGCTATATCGACGGGTGATTTTCACTGCTATGACTTGACTCGTGATTATTGCGCGTACCCAACGTTACTGATAGAGTACCGTGTAGACGGTGGATGTACTAGCCTTAAGCTTTAGTTTATGGACAGCGTATTGTAACGATGCAAGCGGAAGTACACAGTTGCCCGGCTCGGCTACTACAAGCTCTATCAGCAAAGAAGCGCCTGGAGATGGAGTATTGGCAACAGGGCTACCAAACACTTGGTCGAATATCTTGGGGCTGTGTACAAGCGGAGGGAACACTTTTACTTTGATGCCGAATGCTTGCTGTTGATGTACGACAGGTGGTGGGCCGTAATACCTGCATTTTATATACATGTCTGTTAGCATCATCTGACCCACCCATCTCTGAGCACAATCGAAGACAGGCGTGGGTTCGCCATCAAGGTAAGTGCGTGCTACGGCTGATGCTCTGGGATCATACCTGCAGTGCCACGAATGGGTAAAACACAATATTCACCTGGAAAAGCGGATGTAATGTATTTTTGCATCTTGAATTCGTACTCATCAAGGCGTGTGGCCGAATCTAGAGACGTCATTCATCTTTACTTCCTGCATTTTAGTAACACTCCCATGGTACGCCATGCACAAGAATATGCCATCAATGTCGGTGTACCGTTCCCAGTTTGTAAAATGATAGAATAAGTCCATCAGAGACTCGGATTCTGCTCATGGATCTCGGCTTGACAAGATGGAGGATATCCACCGGGGGGACACATGGTCAACAAGGCTGATGCTGTGAGAAGGCATATTAGCCAGATCGATTCGGGGACAGGAATTAAAAGGTGGAATCGCCCAGCAGTAGACGTTGGCGACAGAACTCGGACGGTGACCACAAAAACTGTCTCCCAGATGATAACGCGGAGAAAAGCAATGCATAATCATTTGATAGACTGCCTGGGTGAGTAGATTTCCGTCCTGTGGGATCGGTGTCGTCGATTGAGCGGTCAGGTAGAAAGCGTGGTAATGTCGAGACGATCGGCACGGGCCACAGATCCATAGGCGCCCATGTATCTAATTCACTCACCCGCGCTTTGCTCCACCCGTCCCTCGTTGTGCCCCAACCACATCATCGCACACTCGCTGTCACCTGCATAAAAGCACGTTAGGCCCTCTATCACATACATACTTGCCTCTACCTCGCCTGAGATAGATACAATGGTTCTCCGTTGGACAAAGAGAGACCCCGCTGCAATCCGCAAGGCCGCGAAAAACAAGTCAAATGTGAAGAACGAGGAATCACAGAACACAATACCCATCGCACAGCCAAGCCCTCGCATGTCGCGCACCAATTTTGCTACCATCCTCGACCACCAATGGTCCATTGATCTAGCCACCCAGACCATCACTGTCGCCACAGACGATGTACACATGGTCAGTTACGGTGGACGTCAACCATAGAATGCTTCCGGTGCTGACCTTCACCATGTGTAGCACGACGATGACCGCGACTACATCGAGCTCGCAGCCGAGTTGTCAGCCGTCACTCTCGACGGTGCCACCATCACGCCACATTGTGACACACCCGATTCTGTGGGCCCACTCACCCCTGCTCCGTGGACGTCCCCATGGGGCGCGCAATGTGCCTCCCCGGAATCCAACAAACACTCTGTGGCATACTCCGCAGAGGTGAGTCTTGTGGTGTGACGCCAATGGTCAATTAATCTTACCGACCATGTACCATAGTCTAGTACGCCAGGGTCTGAGAGGCCTGACACTCCGATGGAGTGGACCACGCTATGGGACGCATCTTGTGTCTCCCCGGAATTCGGCAAAGAGTCTGTGGCGCACATAGGATCGGTGAGTTCGGTGTAGTGGCTACGACGTTCGGCATGACTGACCATAACTATAGCCACACGACTTCTACGTTTCGGACACGATTCTGAACTCGGTGTGGGTCAGCACGGCTAGAGTCGGACTGGGCTTCGACGTGGACATCATGGCCGCTGACACATGGAATGCTTGGACAACGACGGGAGCCCATGGGGTCTGGGAGTGAGAGCGTAATCAAGGGACTTGCACGCACAGGGTATCGGAGGCGCGCGACGATGAACACGACAACGGCAGTCAGTATCGCGGTCCTGAACAGATCGTCAAGTCTCGACGCTGCGCATCGACACTTGCATCGCGAATGGACAATACTCCCTCCTAGTCACCACTCAACCAAACCACATACAGCCTCATGCCAGTACTTTCGCTGTTCCCCAATTGTCCCTGGCCTGTAGTAACACCCACTATCCACCTCTCACAAGCCCTCGCTGTATTGAAACGGGACTATTCAGGACGCATCCTTCGAGTACCAAGAGATATAGCGAGTTGCATAATATGCAACATGCATCCGCGGTCAGACTCGAATGGAAGGCACCGACGTGGACGACGTCTTTGAATACAAGACACGGACCACGTCGACACAAGCATAGACAATACAAGACGCAAACATCGGGCTACGATTGTCAGTAGTGTTGGATATCCTGCTGTGTATTTTCGTTTCGTGGCTGTTCAAACACACATCGAGATGGATGATGCATCCTTGTATGTCCCCATCGCCTTGCAGCGACTGTGTGCTTGACCCGAGCGCTGTTCTGTCCTTGAGCAGCTTGCCATGATATGCTCAGCCGACGGCGATGTATATGACCCAATGGTACAGCACAGTCTGTGAAGCGTGAGCACCGGTACTACGGAATGAATAAAGTGCAGTGTGAGCGCTATTGCTCATTGGCTGGCCGAGCAAAGTCTGCGGGGTGATCAACAGGTGATCGATCGAGATGCGTGTCTAGTTAAATAATTCGAGGTCTGCTGCTCGCTTGGCTCGAAAGATCCTTCCCTGGCAAGATATAGCTGTTGACGACAAAAATGCAGGCGCGGATACACTGAGCGAAGTGTTATATTCAAAAAGACACAAGTAAGATACTACATTAGTCAAAACGGACAGTACATGTAAGACTCTAGGGCATGGTGACATGATGTTCGTACGACTCGGAGCTAAGGAGTAGAAGAGAGAGCTTGTAGCAAACGAATGAGATATGCCAGGATTACAGTGAAAGAAGGGATATAGGCAGCGTGCTTCCGCATGGGCCTGTCGACGACTGTCGACGCCTGCATTGTGGGATATATACGGCTCCTCAGATGGTATTCTAAGCAAATTGAGGATCACAGTGACCGCCGTGTGAATAGGTTGTGGATAGGTTGTAATGAGTAATGAGAGGGTAGGATGGATTGTCGTGAGTGAGTAGGTTCTGGTATGTATGTGTAGGAGGTGATTAATCGATACATGGTCGAGGTGGAAGATAGCTGGATGCTAAACATGGACAAATGCCAAGAACTGCAGACAGTAATAATGTATCATACGAACGGCGCTGCGCATTATCGGCGGTGAATCACTTGCAGAATGGTATACATAGGTCTAGATGATTGACTGTCTGACTTGGCCCGCGGGATGCGCTTACGGGACCTTGCATTGGACCTGGGCGTCGGCGGGAAGGGGGTGAGACTTGGACACGGGGAAATTCATGACAGAGGAGGAGAGGGAGGCAGAGGGACCAGAGCGGCGTCAAGAGGTGGAGTAGAGGCGGAGGAAGGTTCTGAGGGAAGACGCTCAGCGAATGGAGGAGGGAAGATATCCTGTCCGGTGGCCAACACGTCTAGCGCGTTGTCGAAACCGAAGGGAGCTGAGATGAGGCGTTTCTTGCCCCGCTTGCCAGACACGAAGCGGACGGGAATATTGCCAAGCAAATGGTCTACAGACATCGCAACTTGACGTGGACGTCGAGGTGAGAGGGTAATAGGTAGGGACGAGGATGCAGAGGGGATATGCGGCAGGTCGCCGATGTTAGGGCTTGCGTTGTGGACAATGACGTTCGTGATGCCGGTCGGACGAGGAGGGGGAGGAGGAGTAGGTGTGCAGATAGAGGGGCTCTGAGGATCAAGGGTGATCAGTAGACGTTCATCGAAACACATAGGATATGACCTACCTTGTTCTTCGCTTGTCCTAGCCTGGGGCGGACCGCGGGATTGAGAATGTTGCGAATGGCAGAGAGACCTCGAAGAGCGATCACAGGCCGCCGTCTTGAGGTCGAAGGAGATGAGGCAGAGGCAGAGGAAGGAAGCGGAGAAGAAATTTGAGATGGTTCTTGATGGCTGGTGAGAGCATTGGGAGGGCGAGAGGTGATCTCGTCGTCGGATTGCGCCGACACTGCTCCAGGCAGGTCCGCGTCATTCGCCGCACCGTGTCGACGGCGACGGCGACGACGTCTCCTCGGTTCATATTGATGTTCATCGTTCGCAGGTGGTTCTTCTGGGTGTTCATCGTTGGGAGGTAGTTCCTATGGAGGGTTATGAGTACTCGGCCATTCTCCATACGGAGTTTACTCACTGCTATCCGACGCGCTACTCCGTGGCCAATCGTCTCGAAGAGATTATCCCGTGCAGCTTCTCTCGAGACGTCGTCGTCGTCGTTCGCGTGCGGGAACATCACAGAGCCATCAGGCCAGCGAGCATGATCTGGAATGAATCCGGCGTACAGCTGGCCATCCACAAAGAAGAGCATGAACTGTGTCCCGTCAGTATTGTGCTCCGAACGCGGGGCGGAGCCGTGAGTAGCGAGAAGGCACAATCGCACGAGTTGCATTCGAGCGAGCAAGAAGCACAGCGCGAACCAGGCGAGCTGCCTCGCTGCATTCTCGGGTGTGGGCAGGACCACCAGATTGTCGACGTTGGCTGATGCACCAACACCAGAGATGACAGGCGTGGAGATCATTGGGGAGGCAGGCACCTCATCTGCGTGGGCGGAGGCTCCAACGTCCGAACTGGTGATGGCGGGCGGGGCAGATGGAAGTGTCTCGAGGGTGTGCGCGGGAGGGAGCCAGAGTCGCAGACCCTTGTCGCCCCATATGTTATTGTGCTATAAAGAATCAGACACCAGATGTGACACGATAGCAGGCACACGTACTGTCATGACCAAGGATGTGTCCAGTGTCTCGAGCTTGGCTTCATCGTTGGGCTCCGTCTCGGACGAGCGTACGATTGAAGCGAGAGGAGCATCGAGCACCACCACTGTGGTAGGTACTGGTGCAGACGATCCGGTGAGGAAAGGCGATGGCAATGTCGCGATGAAGGTGCTGATCATCGTTGACACTGCCTCGCCTTGATCAATTGGTGGGTATGTCGTGTCCGTCTTCGGTGAGACCGACAGGCACTGACGGGATGAGGGTCGCAGACCCTCTCCACACGCATCAGCGCGCTGTGAAGCAGCCTCAGCAGACAGCATCTACAGACAGAACAACGGCAGGCTTACATCTGTGACCGACGCAATATGTGACACCTCGGCCACGATCTCTTCGAAGGTGACAGAACACCCCACTTGATCGTCGTCATACGAGGCTGGTACAGGCGAGAGGACGTGATCGAGTGTATGGCGAATATTGTCGTGTACATAGGACAGGAAATCCATCATCACCAATGGCTGCAGGCTTGTCGAATACGGTGGTGAGGTCTGACACGGTCCGTCAACGTGCTGGTCTACACAGAGGTCTACAAGATTACCTCGGGTGAGCCAGGACTAGCAGGCTTAAATGGAGGGGCACTAGGCCCTGCTTCGACATTCAAGCGCGTCCGGTGCATTGATGTAACCCGATGCTTCACGAGAAGAGTAACCGAAACGACATAGACAGTGACCAGGGCTGTGAACCATGCAAGATTGGTGATGTACATGGACTCCCTGTAGGCATGCGTCACGGGGGCATCCATCGGAGAGCACGTCAGCGCGGAGATGGATGTCGGCCCACGGACTGACAGTGCTTTGACGACCTCAACCACAGCGCCCGACGACACCGAAGCGGCAGGGACGACGATATCGAAGGTGAAGACGGTGTTCCACACGGCAGGGCAGACTCCGTCGTCGACAATGATCGACATGTTGGTGAAGACGACGTCATCCTCAACAATCAAGGGCCTGGCGCATTCTGCCAGAGATGTCTGGGGAGCGGCATCGAGCAGCTGGAAGCGGCGCGGCGTGGTGGTGCCGACCATCCATCGGCTGTAGCACGGCCCGGGTGAGGGACGGAGGAAGGAGTATGAAGAGCGGAGGGTCGACTTACACAAAATGGTCGGCGTGTTCGTGAACATCAACGAGGCTGGTGACAACCCCGTCAATGAGCGCGACGACTCCTGGTCCGTCGAGAGGGCTGGGAGCCTTGAGGGTCGCGACGAGGGCCAGGAGCGCAGTAAAGATAAGCTGGATCGGGATATGCATTCTGATGCGAGGCGAGATGGAGTACGTTCGAGTGAAGGAGGGGAATGTTGAACTTGCCGTCTCTTATAACACGGCGACACGCTTATGTGAGCGACGTCGATCGCGTCCTCGCCATGTTCGACTTTGTGTCAAACCTCTCGATCTCTTGCTATTTTGAGACGAACACAACCTACGACGTTCATCCTCCTCTTCAATCAGCAGGCCCTTATTGACTAACCTTCGGCACATGGTAACGTCGTTGAGGTGACTTAGATGAGAGCAAAAAAGTACATGTTGCAGTGAGACGAATGTTCAGAGGATCTTGATGTGTAGGTGCGCGGGAGAAGAATGACAAATCACGCGATGCCGCCGCTGAGTAGAGACACTGTAAATCGGAGTGAGCAATGTCGTTGCTCTATACCTGCCTACCGTTGTCATAATTCCTGTATGAAGATATGGCAGTGACCTCAGCGACTGCGCCGTCTTAAGCCTGACAGATAGCAATCATCATTTGAGTTGTCGTGTAAGCCCAGCACAAAGATCACATATGAAGATACGCTCTGTGCGATACATGCCCAGGATTGATCATTTAAGATATCCAGGTCACTTGACACCATCGATATTATGGTGACAGCTTGGGCCTATAACTCGAATTCGCCTGAAATGAGAGTTTCTCGAGTATCAATGAACATAAGAGATGCAAGGACAGCGAGCACGCCCGAACTGCACGTGCAGAACGCTGGATTGGTACGTGCTGCATATGTGCGACACCACCTCCTGAGAACCATGGAAAGTAGTGGTATGAAAGGATTGTCCGTGCGACAAATTGAGCTTGTGAACGCACGAACCTATCTAAATTCACTATTGGCGACCAGTTTTGTTACACCTGGATGCAGAACATCCTGACGACGTGATCTCCATAGATTGGAAAGGAGGTCATTGAATCCGTTTGCTTGCAGCATGACCTCGAGCTAAGCATTTCTTCTGTGACACGAGGGGTACTTAGCGAGTCGACGATATGAGCCCATGGAACAATACCCCTGGTCAGTACATTAAAAAAGATGCTGGCCACGACTTTGTGCGGCTGTCGCGCACGGCGCGCTGTGGCAAATGAAGTGATCGAGAGGTCCGAGCCACTCGGCCCGGTCTGAATATGCACAGAAAGATCACGTGGCGCGACGCGTCCGGTCCTGTGGCGTCTGCTCTTCCCTGACCAGCAACACACGCCTTGTCCTCGTTAGGCTCGCGTGCCGACGGTTCCTCCAACAGGAAGACGTAATTGGACCAGCTGTGCGTGGGAATCACTGCAACCGCTCGCTGCAGTCGTTGATGACATTCCCACATCTGGCAGTTGACGATCGTCGCACAAAGAGGTTGGCCAACCGCTCTAACGGTCACACCTTGCATAGCCACTTGCGGGAACAAACGTGGTACGTGGAACTGATGAGCCACACGCTGAATGAATTGACAACGAGAGGCACGCAGGTTTTGTGGCTTTCGCACAAGTATATAATCCCCGTGCTCCTCGATACCTGTAAGTCTACCGCTTTACGATGCCTTCCCGAGCTTCATCTGAAAATACTCTCCACCGCAAGGCTGCCTCTGGGCAGAATCCACGACCCCAGACCCCAGAAAACTCTCGTCCAACGTTAGCTGAGTTGCAGACAACGCCACTCAATCCCAAGATCTCTACACGCCGATCTCTTTCTGCTGAGCCTTCCAAAGGTGCAGGTCTTGATCCGCATCGCATTGAACTTGGTGACGAAATGGCCGAATACTGGGCGAAGATGGCGGTCAAAACATTCCTTGACGAACATGTCCCCGGTGGTGACCCTGATGAGCAAACCAAAAGTATGTTCCATAAATTCGACGGCGAAATGCTCGACAAACTAGAATTTGTTATGGCTTCGGAACTGGTGAGTCAATCCATCGTTGTGTCCGGGTTGAGCTGGTTACTGACGCGGGGTTCTGCTTCGTCTGTTTTCAGATCAAGGGAGTTCAATCTGTATTCCAGTGCAACGCTGACAACACTCTTGTCGCGAAAGATACTGCAGACTGGCCTGACAACACAGATGCCATCGACCGGGCGGTAAGCGCGACGATGAGACCCGACGTCTGTATTTACAGCACTGATGACGACCATGCCGCGCCATACACTCTCACTGCTCAAGAGCTTGCGGGGCGCAAGTACTCGGAAGAGCGCAAGCAGAAATTGGCTCGAACTCGCTGGGGGTCAATGGTCGTTCCTATTGAGCTCAAGTCAGACATTTCCAGGGCACCGTTTCATTTTGGGAACAGCCGCACGGAGGAGACGGAGAAGAAGATAAAGGCACGAGGGCAGATCGCCGACTATGCTACGAGGATCATGCAACGCCAGCACCGGCTGTTCTTATTCATGATTGTCATCTGCAAGCGTGAGGCGCGGTTCCTGCGTTGGGATCGATCTGGTGCGATTGTCACAGATGCATTCGATTTCGTGAAGAACCCGGAACCGCTGCACACGTTCTTCTACCGTCTCAGCAAGATGACTCGCGAACAGCACGGGTACGATCCAACTGTGGTGCCGGCTGATGCAGATGAGATCGCGCTGATGGAATCGTACAAAGACAAGCTCCCCCAGGACGACTACCTCCGCAAGTGTCTCAATGATGCTATGGAGCGCGGCTGGCCTATCCAAAAGGTGATGATGCGTCAAGAGGATGTGGTCTCTGTAGAATCCTGGCGCGCCGCTGCGAACAAGGCGGACTCGACTGGCTCAACTCCCCCGGACACTTCTCAAGCCTCCTCTGCCTGTGGTGAATCGTC